CTACCGTAGGTCCCTTCGATTTTACATGAGAAGTACTGAACTCACCTCTCTCCCATTCATTTATTATCTGGTCACTCCCCTTCTTGAGCTTAGTCTTGGGGATGCCGTACAACATCAGGCTTTTTCTTCCCACCCCCAATGTCTTCAATTTAAAGCCCTCCTGATCAGGTTTCAAGTCTTCCAGCAAAGACATTCCTCCCATTCTTCGTAAGGTGCACCCCATCCATCACCAACAGTCCCTCATGTCAGAGGTTCATACCATGGTCCAGGAAGCCAAATCCCTCTTGAGATTGGGTGTGTTATGTTAGCTCTTCTTTGGTGAGCTACATTTCAGGTATCTTTTCTTCATCTGGTGTTCCCTGTTATGTGCCAAAATATATGTGCAACATGATGCTATGTCTGGTTTCTAAACTAATGTACTGCTGTATACTGTACCAATGTAATGCAGACCCAGGCACTGTTGGGGGAGGGGCTGTGGCTCAGTGATAGAGCCTCTGCTTGGCATGCAGAAAGTCCCAGGTTCAATCCCCAGCATCTTGAGTTAAAAGTAGGCAGGAGGTGATGTGAAGGAGCTCTCTCTGCCTGAGACCCTGGAGAGCTACTGCCAGTCTGGCTAGACAAGACTGACCTTGATGGACTGAGAGGGGGTGGTGGTGGTCTGATTCAATATAAGGCAGTTTCATGTGGTCATGTGCCTTTTACTGCTGCTGAGAGAAGTTACTGAAATGCTTGTGTGGCTGCATCTGCCCAGTAAGGAGCACCACGCTGACAACCTGGAAGTATATATTTAAAGCTTAGTTTTAGCCTCCCAGAGGAATGTGCAACCTTGTCTTTTAGTTGAGCCAGTTTGGTGTCGTGGTTAAGTGCGTGGACTCTAATCTGTGAGAGCCGGGTTTGATTCCCCACTCCTCCACTTGCACCTGGCTGATGACCTTGGGCAAGCCGTAGTTCTGACAAGAGCTGTTCTTGAAAAAGAGCAGTTTCTGTCAAGAGCTCTCTCAGCCCCGCCGACCTCACAGGGTGGTCTGTTGTGGGGAGGGGAAGGGAAAGGAGTTTGTAAGCCGCTCTGAGACACCTTTGGGTAGTGAAGGGCGGGGTGTAAATCCAATCTCCTCTTCTTCTTCTTGAACCATCCAATTTTCTAAATACTAGAAGCTTTAAGAGTTACACAGAACGTTTATGTATTTATTTTAGATATGTATCTTTCTCCTCTCTCTTCGCTTTATCTTCAAGCCAACCACCCTGCGAGTCTGTGGACACCCAGTGAGTTTCCCTGGCAATGTGGAGATTGTATCCTACAATTCTAATCTTAAAATCACTTTCCTCAGAGTAAGCACCATTGAACAATATGGTCTTTATAAGTAGACCTATACAGATGGCTCCCCAGGTCTCCCAGATCCTGGTCTGAGAAGCGTTAAGTACTACGCCACACAACTTCCTCAGCATTCGCTATTTAAATCCAAAGGGGGGAAAGTGCCACAGGGGGAGGCAGGTGTAGCTCGGTAACCCACCTACTTTTAAATGTAGTGGGCAAGGAAACAAAATCGGAGTGGACTGTACTCCACTAGGGAATGACCAGGGTGGGGCAAAATGATTCATGTTCCAAATACTCCCAGAATGAGGTGGTGCTTGAAAGAACCACCGTTGGGAATGGACTGCCCCGGCCACAATGGGTGGCTCCATCCCCGGCACCTCCTGTACCCTGAGCCAGGTAGGCCGCGGGCGGGACAAAAGGCTCTTGTTCCCCTCCGGGAAGGATTTATTGGCCTTCCCTCCGGGGGAGCGGATTGTCCCGCAAGAGCGATCCAGCCGCGGGTGGCCCGAGGGGGAGAGGCGGGGCGGCTTCCAGGTGTCGCCGGCCTCCCCTGGTGGTTGGCCGGAGCGGCTGTGCCGGCGGGCGGCGCGGGCTGGATTGTCCAGGGGCCTCGTGGCCTGGAATGTCCCGGGATTAGCCGGTCCCTGACCCGGCGGCGGCTGCGGAGAAGAATGCCGTGGGGGGGAGGGGAGGGGTGGCTCCCGGCCAGCGGCAGGAGGGGAGGGCCGCGAAGGGAGCCCGCCTGGGGCCACCGCGCGCTGGGCCGGGCCGGGCCGGGCCGGGGGAGGCGATTCGCGTGGCGCTCTGCGGGTCCAGCCCTCCGGCCGGGGACGGGCTCCCTGGCGGGCTGCCGGAGTGCGCGAGCGGAGCCGGGCGATGGCGGCGGCCGGGGGGCCTCCCGGGAC